GAGGTCTTTTCCACTCTTAATGATTCTATGATTCTATGATTCTATGAAAATGAACTGATGGTGTCCTTGATGCTCTTCGCCACCTGTGTCAGGGTATGAGCACCACCATCTGTGCCCTGTGGTGCCCCAGGGCACTTTCGGGACGCAGTATAAACACCCCAGGCTCAGGCTCCGTCCGAGGTGGATCCCAATGCTGGCACAAGAAGTGGGTGAGTTGGCTGGGTCATGGCACTTGTTTCAGCTGGGTTTGGTGAGATAGAGATGGGTTAGAGAGATGGGGAGATGCTAGGGCTCCATGCAGTATTTATTGTGTGATACCACTGCCAGAGATACATAAACATTTCCTGGCAGCAGTTCTGGCTGCATTATCCCAAACTCAGTGCATGAGTGTGGCAGGGAGGGCACTGGCCAGTGTGTTTCTCAAGGGGATGGAAGTAGCATGCTCCTCCTGCTCAGTTCTTCCAGACACAGTGGATGTAAAGGGATTTCACTTGGAGCGAGAATGGACTTGTGTACTTCTAATACTTAAAGTGCACTGGGTGGGAGCTAGGACAGAAGTTTGCCTGTAAATTTTCCATATTCTCTAAAACAGTAGTCCGCAGTGCCAGGGAGTTCAGAGGGTTTAATTGTTTATTTTGCACTGGCTCAATAACACCTGGCAATCCAGCAGCAGCTCAGAGCCGTGGTTCATGTTCCATGGACATAATGCATAAGGTGACAGCTCCTGACACACAGCTGGTTACTCCTCATGGCACTGTAAATCCCCCTTTAGACCCTGACATTTTGATAATGCCCTGCTGCTGGTGGCTTTTAATTTTGTCTCTGCATATCTAACAAGAGAATTTCTCCAGATATCTGGGTGATCGGACACTGCTGTCTGGGGCTCTTATGAAGCAGAGCTTTTGGGATGAAAGGGGCTCTCCCCTGCCTTTCACTCGCCTTGCTCTTGGTAGAGTGAGCTCACACATGGTTGCAGAGACAGACCTTTTGTAGGGGTTGATACAGGCAGGCAAAGTCCCAAGAAGGACAGGACTGAACCAAGCTCCTTGTGTCCTGATTTCGTAGGTAGCTTTCAAACAGCTCTGAGTCACTAAAACTGGGTGTCCCAGAGCAGGACGAGCAATGCGCATGCCTTCTTTGTGGCAGTCATGGGAGAGCTTAATATATTTCCAACCCTGGAGATCTCTCAATTGCAGCATAAATGGTGGTCACGTTCAAGTATGTCAACCAGAGAAGCATTTATGCAATCGCTGTTTCAAGAGTGAATTTCCTGTATATTTTGCTCTAGTTCCCAGCAGCTGCAGGCAGTTGCAGGCAGAAGACTGTCCTTATTTCAAAGACTCAAAGAGCAGAAATGACAGTACATAGCCGAGATGAAGGGACCTGAATAGTGGAGGGGAACCCTGATGGGGCAAATTGCTCAATATCTAACACTTCCAGATAAAATGTGGTTCAGAAGTTTAAGTGTCTGTGCCATGAGCAATGCTAATCATGAGTTCAGCTCCCCTTTGTATTCCAGGTACAGTTCAGCTGCTCTTGGAGCCCTTCTTTCTACCATTACACAGCTCCTGCAAGCGAGAAACAATGATGTGAAGTGTTGCATCAAGTCATGGCGGCACCCAACCTGTTGGGATCCCACCCCACGTTCTTAATCTTGGTGGGGATACCTGGGATGGAGGTCTCACACCTGGATCTCAATCCCAGTCTGCATGATGTACTCTGCTGCCCTTCTTGGGAACTTGGTCCTGCTGGTCACCATCGCGAAGGAGCGCAGCCTTCGTGAGCCCGTGTACATCTTCCTGTGCATGCTGGCAGTGTGCGACCTGCTGTTGTCCACTGCCACCGTGCCCAAAACCTCCAGCGTCCTCTGATCTCTGCCCACCCAAATCTCTTTCAGTGGCTGCCTGGCACAGATGTTCTCCATCTATTTCGTTTTTGTGGCAGAGTCGGCCATTTTACTGGCGATGGCCTTTGATAGATACATCGCCATTTGCAATCCCCTGCGATACACGGCCATCCTGACACACTCTGTTGTGGGGAAAGTTGGCGTGGCAGCTTTAATCAGGAGTTTCTGCATCATGTTCCCTGCCATCTTCCTCCTCAAGCGGCTGCCCTACTGCGGGCACAACATCATGCCCCACACCTACTGCAAGCACATTGGCGTGGCCTGCCTGGCCTGCTCTGACATCTCCATCAACATCTGGTATGGGGTAGCTGCTGGCTTCCTTTCAGCCGGCTTGGATGCCATCTCCATCACCATCTCCTATGCGCTGATCTTCAGGTGCCTCTGGGGACTGCCGTCCCCACACACCTCCCCCAAGGCTCTGCACACCTGCGGCTCCCACCTCTGTGTTATCACCATGTTTTACACGCTGGCCGCCTTCTCCTTCCCAGCACAGTGGTTCAGCCAGCATGTTCCTCGGCATGTCCTCATCTCCTTAGCCAACCTCTGTGTCGTGGTGCCACCCGTGCTCAACCCCATTGTCTATGGGGTGAGAACAAGGCAGATCCAGGAGCACGTGGCTCACCTGCTCAGGCTGGGGCGCTTGGGCAGCAAGGCATAGCAGGCAGGCAGGAACAGGCAACCAGCCTGGTCTACCGGCAAGAGGAGTGAAACGAAGCCTTGAAAAGAGGGAAATGAATGAAAGACAGTGGGGACTGGCAAACATGGACCAGATGGGAACGTTTTCAAAATAAGTGTGTTCAATGGACATCAACATCCAACCCATAGCTCTGTTGCAGAGAGGCTGGACAGGTTCCCAGATGTGCTGACGGGAAAAAACTCATTGGGACAGTAGGAGCCAGGCACTGGGGATTACCACTGTTCCCATGTTTCTGGGATCCCCTGCATTGTCCTAAACCCACCACTGTTGGGTATTTGTACAGTCAAGGCCTTTGTAAGCAAAATAGTTTCTAACTTCTTAAGGTGCTATTGAGGATCTTATGAAACAGAAAACATTAAAGAAGTACATATAATATGTGTGCCTGTTACCTCATTATAGAAATGTCTCTGCTCGAGCTGTGTATCGTCTCTGTGGCATGGGAATAGACATGGCTGGGGCAAGGATGCTTCCTGAAGGCACCCAGATCTGGGACCACCCATTGGGTCTCCTCTCTCCTGATGCCCTCTCAGAAGGCTGCAAGGACACAGAGATGGTGGGAGCACTACTCCTCTGCCCTGCTCGGCTGTTTGCACAAGAGCCAGCTGTCATCTGGGCAGCCTGACAGCAGGGAGATGGCTTGCCAGGTCCCCAGATGATCAGGTACCAATGTGCCCCCCAGCTATGAGCTGCGGTAAGGTTGCAGGCTTTGCTACCAACAGTGTGGGTTTGCTTCACTGTTGCTCCTCAGAGCAGTGCACTCAGCTGTGCTGTGGGCAAGGATGGGAAGATCTGATGTCTTCTGGCTGAGCTGGGCACTTTGGGGTGAGGGGGGAGTCAGTGGTAATAGGAGACATCCTGGTCCTGTCTTAGCATCTCTGTCTCTGGACTCCCAGGGGATGCGCAGAGCCAGCCTGGCTTCCAAGCATGAGGAAACCCCTGCTAGCTAATGTCAGATGCAACTGAAGTACAACATGGTTGCACAGAGAAGTGGCCCTGATCCCACACAGGGTGTAACTGAGCCAAGTCCAGCAGGACGGGGCCCTCCAACTTCCCAAAACTCCTCTCCTACGATTTCCACAGAGGTCTGTCTTGGGACAGCCACCTAGGAAGGAAACTGGGAGCAAATCTTGATATAACATCAGCTGTGGCAATAAAAACGTGACTTTACCTGTCATCAGTAGTCTTCTGTCAAGTATCTCAAAGTGTTTTGCAAATATTCATACTCTCACTAGTAACACCGGTAAGCCAGTTGTTAGTGTATTTTCTGTAATAGGACCACATCTACTGAAAAAGGGAGGCATGACCAGCCCATTCCCTAAGGATGAGGAAGACGGCCTCGGTTACTAGAGAAACACAGGCATGGGCAGTGACATAACATTTATGCTGGTGAAAGCTGAGATAACAGTTTTGAAGCCTGTGTAGTGGTGCTAGCAAATACAAGAACCATTCTTTTTCTCTCTCTACCTCTTGGTTTGAATTTCTAGGCCACTTATCCATCCCTTTCTGCACCCAGAACGGGCTAGCTCTAGATTTGGGTGCCACCTCTAGCTCAGAGAAGTCCCTAACATGCCCTCTAGAAGCTAGGAGGTCTGTCCACCTGGATGTGTCTGCTGCTGGCCTGCTGGATTCGGACCTCGGGTGTGGACAAAGCAACCAGCCAGGCTGGTGGCCCAGGGCATAATGCTGGGGTGATCCATAGCGTGAGCCAGTCTTGGAGGCTTTGGGACTGAGCTGCTGGCCCATGCAGATGGACCACAGGTCTGTGTCCCCCCATTCCCGATGTCACACCCCAAAGAATGGGCAGTTTTACTAGGGACTGCCTCCTCTCTGCCCTGTTTTCAAGGAAAAGGAACCTGGTTTAGGTCTGTGAATGAAGGGGGGGGGCAGAGGTGTCCTCCCAGAGCCTGGCTGTGCCTGCAGGGTGGGGATGGAGACTGTCCCGATCCTCGGAACTTCTCTTCTGCCTTGACACAGTCACCTGAGGCAGTATTTCTGGTGCATCCGTGCTGACAAAATTTTGTTGAATTTTACAGACACCTCCAGCAACCCCAAAGTCTCCAGCACACCTCAGACTTCTTTATATTGTGGTGCACATTTCAATTCAGATTTTGCCTGTGAATATTTCCATTCACATTTTTAACTGCAGATTCATCCTATCCATAGCCTTTGGGAACTGGACTGAGGCAAGTGGAAATCAGCAGGCCTGGATAATGTGTGCCTGAGGGGTCCAGAAGAGCCAGTGGAGGAGCCACCAGGCCTGCAAGTATTCCTCAAGTATCCCCTTAGGCTTAGCAAAACTAGTAAAAAAAAAGAAAAAAGAAAAAAAGAAACCCTTTCTGACATGTGCTAATATTAAAAAGGTGAAATGGAATTATTGGAGAAATTTGAAACTGCTTAGTTTGACATTAGCTCCAAATAAAATAATGGAAAAGTGAATATGAGACTTGATCAATAAAGTGTAGAAAGGGCAAGAATATAATTAATGGCAATCAGTACTTATTTTTGGTGTTTAGCTTCCATAGAATCATGTCATTTTATTTTCTGATGACTTCCACATTTGGATGATAAAGTTACCTGAAGGCTGAATACAACTGTGAGTATTTTTTTTATTTTCACAACACTGTGATATAGAACTCATTATTACAAACAAACAAACAATAAGTAAAGCAGATGTTAATGGAGTTTGGCTAACTGCAAAGTCTTATTTCAGTGATAGCTCCCCACTGAGAGCTAGTTTTCCATATATTTCTGAGGACATTCATCAGGGATTGATTGATGCTGGGTCTGATGCTATATATGTTGTTATCAGTTGTGTAGAAGCAAGTATAAAATCATTGCTAATAAGGTTTTTAGATGATGCAAAGACAGCTAATTTAATAGAGGTGAATGCAAAGTCATCCTCTTGAGGAGGAGGGGTTCAGGCTGTACCAGAGAAGGGGGCTACAGTCCCAGTGGAGGTGGCTCCAGAGAAGCTCAGGCATCTGAGGGAAGGAGCATCTTGGTGGGGGCACTTTGGGTGATGCTTGGCTAACGGGCCAATGTGGGGGTCCCAGTGTGTTCCTGTAGCTGTGCAGGGGCGATGGTGGGTAATGCAGGTCTATGATTCCCTTGGCTTGTTCTCAAATTTTTCAGCCAGCCCCGAGGTCCACATTTTTGAAAACATACAGCGAGCTGGGAGGGTCCCTCGATGCATGCTGCACTGCTCTCAGCGGGATGGGAGGGACCAGGGGAGGCTGGAGTCGTGCTGGCTTGCAGAAGAAGTCCAGCTCCTTCCCCCAGCACACGCCAGCGCTGCCCAGTCCCCGCGAAACACCTTTCCCACCACTGCAATAATGACAGGGATAAGATGAGGGGGAGAAAATCAGGAGAAACCAGCACTTTAATCCAACTTTGCTCAGCCATAGTAATGGCTGAGAGTTGGTTCACAGTCCCCTTTCAATGAAAATGAAAGCAAAGCATCTGTAAGATGCTTTGCAGTGTTATGAAGGGGGTGAAGCTGGGTGATCACGGCAGTCCTTTGTGCTGTTAAAGGCCATGAAAAATAAGCCTTTGGGCCTAGGAACTGCTGGAGCTCAAGACAAACTCCTCTGAGTGTCTGCTGAAGAGATGGGAGACCATCTCGTGACTTCAGGTGAGATGTGTGGTGCTAGCTTGAAACTAAGCAGCACAGTCTTCCCCCAATAGTGGGATATGAAAGGGTGAATTTCCTTTACCTATTTTAGCATTTCTGTCATAAAATATGCGTCTCCTTGTCTGATGAAGCAAGAAGAGCAAAAGCCTGCATTTTGAGTTGTGGACATCTTTGGATCATGAGCACCATCTGGAGAATTTCCTCTACATAAGTGCAATAGAGGAGTCTAAAACATCTGCCCAGTATCACAGCTCTCACTGAACAATGTAAGAGGGTGAAAATAATCAGCTGAAATGGGAAAAGCATTAATTTTCTGTTTCTTCACATCAGGACTTACATTTTGAGATGTGGTGGGGATGGACGGAAGCAAAGTGAGCTGTGTCCTGGGTGTGGGTCCCCTGGGGCTCAGAGGATCTATGAATAACCCCATCCCTTGCTGCGAGAGCAGATTCCCTGGCACCTGCACGTCTCTGCCTGAGGGCTGTGGACAGAAAACCCTCGTTCCTGGCTGGGGCAGGAAACTGGTGAGTTGCTTGTGCTGAGCGAGCAAGTTCCTGCACTTTTAGGAAGGTGGAAGCGTTGAAATTAAAATTATGCCTGCTGTGGGAGGCAGGAGGCCTGTGTCACTGCCACAGGCTCAGCGATGCACTGCCTGACTTTGTGTCAGAAAGCTGCTGCCTGACTAAACAGCGTTTGAGCCTGTCCTGGCTTTCCTCCCTGCTGAGCATCTCAGCTCACTGGAGCAAGCGCCGGTGCTCGGCCAGACCTTTGCACTCACCCAGTGCCTATTAGGTGAGAGCTGGATGATGCCAGGATCAGATGGGTAGAGGAGAGCGGGGAAACAGCCTCTCCCTGTTCAGACTCAGAGGAGGATGCCCTGGTACCACCCTGAGTGCGTCCACCTCCCGTCCATTTGCAGGGAAGCCTGGTCGATGGTTGCACAGGGCTGACTGATTTACAGCCCCAGTGCATAAACTGAAACAGACTGCCCAGAGAGCTTGTGCAATCTCCATCCTTGGAGGTTTTTGAGACTCAGCTGGATAAAGCCCTTAGCTGACCCTGCTTTGCACAGATGGTTGGACCAGAGACCTCCCAAGGTCCTGTCCAGCCTGGATTGCTCCACAGTTCTGTGACTCCCTGAGTGGTTGTTATGGATTAGGTCTTCTGGCAGTGTCAGTGAGCTTGTGAGCACATGTACTCAAGACCTGTAACATTAAAGTTTGTTTTGTCCTTTCTTTTTAGTCACTGGAGCCCTTGTAGAAAGTGCAAGGAATAGCCTGTCATGTTAGCTGTCAGTTGCATTGCCCTTGCTCCTGTCACCTGTGTCCTGACGGGCATCTCTGGCGTGGGGAGTCTCACCTCTGGATCTCCACCCCCTTTACACTCATGTGCATGGTTGCTGTCCTTGGGAATTTCACACTGTCCTTCATCAACGACACATAGAAAAGCCTCCATGAGCCCAAGTACCTCTTCCTGCCCATGCTGGCCGTTGCTGACTTGCTGCTATCCACTACCACCGTGTCCAAGACACTGGCCATCTTCTGGTTTAGGGCTGGGGAGATTTCTTTGGAAGCCTGCATTACCCAGGTATTTGTCATCCTTGTCTTCTCCTGTGCTGAATCGGCAATCCTACTGGCTATGCCATTTGATCTGCACATTGCCATCTGCCAGCCCCTCAAATATGTGACCCTCCTGATAAAAAGGAGACAAAGAGATGACAGGGACAATAGGGTTGGCTGCTTTAGCAAGAAGCTTATCCATCGTTTTCCCCATTGTTGTTCTTGTGAAGCGCTTGACCTGCAGAAACAAACTCCTCCCTCACACCTACTGCAAGTGCGTGGGTATAGCCAGGCTGGCCCGTGTGGACATCACCATGAACGTCTGGTGTGGTGCTGTGATGGCTGTTTTTGTGATAGGTGTGGATGCCACACTCATTGCTGCGTCTTACCCGCTGATCCTCCAGACTGTCTTCCAGCTCCCATCCAAAGACGCCTGGCTCAAGGCTCTGAGCACCCGCGGCTCTCATCTCTTGGTCATATTACTGTGCTTCATGCTAGCTTTTTCCTGCTTTTTGCACACTGTTTTGGGTGCTGTATTCCCAGGTCTGCTCTTATCATTGTGGCCAATCTCTGTGTGCTTTTTTCCCCCACGCTAAACCCCATCATTTATGGAGTGACAAACAAACAGATTCAGAGGAATGCAGTCCAGGTGCTTTACCAGTGCCGCAGTTGTGGCTAAGCAGGCGTCCTGCTAGCCCAGCAGGCAGGAAAACACTTCTGGAGGCTTGGGTACCAAAGTTATGTTTTCCCCTTGAATACATTGAGACATGTTATTCTAGAAGTGACAGCTTCTGCTTGCCTGGGGGGCTGGACTGAGGTGAGACAGTGCGGTGGGAAGGACCACAAGCAGGAGTCATTGTCCAGCGCCCAGTTGGTTGTGTGAGCTGGACCCCCAAAGGCCATGGTCAAAATGCAGAATCTGTGCACTGGGCTGGAGTCGGGGCTGTCAGCTTGCCACTGGCTTGCTGGTCAACTGCTCCTTTGCTCCGCTTCCTCAGAGCTTGTATGAGATCCCGATATTCTGCCCTAGCTTGTGCAGACCCCCGGGTCTGCAGCAGGGCTGTGCAGGGTTAGTCATGCAGAGGTGCAGGGAAGAGCAGCAGGCAACAGCATTTACACCACAGCAGCAAGACCTGCACTATGGGGAGCTTCATCTGTGAGTGGCATCAGCCCGCAAGAACAGCCCTAGGGTTTGCCACTTCGGACGAAGCATCTCCTGCTTAAAACCTTGAAAGCTTCAGCTCTCCAGCAGGTGGGCTGGCAGGAGGGGTTGCAGGCAGGGATATTTTTAATTCCTCTCTAGGTAGGATAGGCTTCCTGCACAGACAGCAGGAACAGCTTTTGTCTGGAAGGACAAACACAGACAAGCTACACACAGAGACCCTTGGCCCCCCACACTCAGCCCAGAAGCCCCAAGTCACGCGTCTCCTCCTTCTTCACCACCTGTGTGCTGCCGTAGCTGTGGGTTGCTTTGCCAATGCCTGGTGGGCTGCAGATGCCCAACGGCCAGCTCAGAGGAGCCACCCGCACAGCAAAAGCCCGTGGTTTCCACCCCGGCACCATCCTGCTCCATGTGTGGGGCCTTGACCTGCCCCCTGGAGATGCTTTGCTCTCCTCACAGCTGACCTGGATGACTCCTCTCAGACATGCCTTTCTTGGGGGACCAGTATGGTGCCCCCCCTCAGCTGTGCCGACCAGCCCCAGAGGCCAGACAGGCTTTTCTTACATGATGTATAAAGCAGATGAGGAAAACTCTGCCTTCTGTGTGCTGTCACAGCGTCTTCCCACCCAGACATCTGTGCTGATGCTCAGAAGAGGGACAAAATGCAGCCTTGTGGTGCAGTCAGTATTTGCAGCACATGGGCATGGGGTGGGAGGGCGGGAGCGGAGGAAATCATCCCCCTCCTGAGGGTTTCCCCTCCGAGCAGGGGAGGGCTCCGGGGCCGGCAGGGAGAGGCAGGGGCGGAAACATTTGTCTTTTACCCATGCCCCGAATCCAGTCTGCTCCAGAGCTGCAGTGTGGCACAGCACCACAAGCAGAAGTGGTTTGCAAACATCAACGTTTTGATGGTTTGCAAACAAGAAGTTTTGATGTTTGCATTTGTATATGTGTGTCCACAGGTTAGTTATGGTGTGTACTGTGCTTAATGCAGATTAATGGGGAAAGAGACATTTCATCTAAAAACCTGCAGGAGTGAACCTGCTGGCTAATAAATACAGAACAATCTCGCTGGTGATCAGTGGCACTGTGCGTTGGAGCTGCACTGCCCTAGCTGAAGGCAGAAATGGGCAGCAGCAAACCCTCCTGGAGCAGCAGGTAAGTGCAGAGAGAGGGCCGGACCCAGAGGTCTGCTCTGGCAATTCGTGGCTGTTAGACAGCGGTGCTTTAATGCAGCCTCTTGAGAGTTGGGGTGTACCCCAGGGGATGCTCTGTCTTGTGCAACATGAGCTCAGGGAATAAAGCACATCTGACCAGAGACATCTTAGAGTAAAGATCTCTAAAAAATACCTGTTGCGGGGCTCAGTGGAGGATAAGCCAGTGGCTTTTGGCCTGGCTGACCTATTTGGGGCTCGTACTAATCCACAGTCTGTTTTAGCCTTAAAACGAATTTCTAGAGAGGAACAGGTTAATGTCAGTCATGCAGTGCAGTGAGGGGGTGGGCTTGCTCATGGTGAGAGCGGTGCTGCAGCCCTGCCTTCTGGTTTGGGGTCAGTGTTTTAAAAGATAGTGAAAAAAGTCTGGAGAGGAGGAGACAGAACAGACATATTATTCAAGTGCTGGAGAAAATACTCAATCTATAAAGGGTGCAAAACATATTAATTTTTAAAGAGCTGTAGAGGCATCTTTACTGCAGGGTGGAAGTTTCAGGAGGAAACATCTGATGCTAAGGATCATTGTAATGCCCTTGAGAAGGATGAATTTGAATGAATGGAAAATGAAGCCAGACATATTCTGATTAGAAATAAAAGCCTTATTTTGAATAATGAGAATAATTAACTGCTGTGAGACGCTCATGAGAGCAACAGTAGGTTTTCCAACAGTGACTATACCTATATATATATGCCCATGTGGAGGATGGAAGTTATTTGGTACAAAGTTGTTTTCTCAGTGAAATCTTTGGATTCCAGAGTGGTGTAGGACCGAGAAGCAGTCTGCATGCCTGTTTCGGCCCTACATATCTGCATGCTTGCAATGTGATAATTTGTGGTATTTCTGAGATGCCCCTGCCATTCTCTTTGGAAGGGCTTTTCTAAGCAAGGATAGACACTGCTGGCATTTTGAGGCCAGATACATCATCTTCTCTAGTGTTTGGTGTTGAGACTGTTGGCAGCCACAATGCCTGTCCTACCTCTTCCCTATCACCCTGCCCCACCCGGGTTCCCCTTCCCATCACTCATGGAGATGCCATCGGAGGAGAGGGGAAGTGTATTTGAGACCAGGCCCTGCTCCCTCCTCCCAGGATCCTGACCTCCACCATCGCATGGTCACTGTGGCCAAGGCTGCCTCCTATGTTCACATCCCTGACCAGTTCAACCTTGTTTCCAAGTATCAGGTCCAGCAGAGCCCCTTTACTTGTTGGCTCCTTCATCACCTGTGCCAGGAAGTTGTCATCAATGCATCTAGAACTCTCCTAGGTTGCTTGAGCCTTGCTATATTGTCATAGAATCATAGAATAGTTTGGGTGGGAAGGGACCTTTAAAGGTCATCTAGTCCAACCCCCCTGCAAAGAGCAGGGACATCTTCAACCAGATCAGGTTGCTCAGAGCCCCGTCCAACCTGACCTGGAATGTTTCCAGGGATGGGGCATCCACCACCTCTCTGGGCAACCTGTGCCAGTGCTTCACCACCCTCAGCATAAAAAATTTCTTCCTTATATCTAGTCTGAATTCACCCTCTTTTAGTTTCAAACGATTACCCCTTGTCCTATCGCAACAGGCCCTGCTAAAAAGTTTGCCACCATCTTTCTTATAAGCCCCCTTTAAGTACTGAAAGGCTTGCCCTGGAGTCTTCTCCTCTCCAGGCTGAACAACCCCAACTCTCTAAGCCTGTCCTCATAGGAGAGGTGTTCTATCCCTCTAATCATTGTCGTGGCCCTTGTCTGGACCCGCTCCAACAGATCCGTGTGTGTTTCCTGCTGAGGAGCCCAGAGCTGGACGCAGTGCTGCAGGGGGGGTCTCACCAGAGCAGAGCAGAGGGGCAGAATCCCCTCCCTCTATGTGCTGGCCACGCTTCTTCTGATGCAGCCCAGGATATGGTTGGCCGCCTGGGCTGCGAGTGCACATTGCTGGCTCCCGTCCAGCTTTTCATCCACCAGTACCCCCAAGTCCTTCTTGGCAGGGGTGCTCTCCCTCCCCTCA